TTTGCAAGGTGAGTGGAGATGTTTGTGCAAGCTGACTGCTGCTATTCGGTTCGACCAACAGATGAACCCTGGGGCACCCAGAGGGTGCTTGAAGTCCAGCCTTTCGACCCATGCACTTTTCCAAACCGCAAGATATTTTACCTCTCTTCTGCTGAATTGTGATGTAAGAGCGAGAGGCTTGCTTCCTCTTTTTAGTTTCCTTTTATTTTGGTCTTACAATCAGGCATTTAATCATTGATCTCAAGCAACTTCTTTCATTGTCCTTTTAAAGAGTATCTGAACAGAAATCTTTATTTTATTTCATTTATAACAGCACGGGTGCCAGAGGTGGCACTCAGAGCCCTCTCTGTGGGCACGCGTGCCATCGCCCCAGCCAGGCCCAGACCACCATTAAAGTGTCGAGTTCTCTGCCAAATAATTTTAAGGAAATGAAAGCATTTGGGATTGCTTTCTTTCCTTACTTTTTTTGGATCATCTTAAGTTACTGTATGAGTTGTTCTTTCTAAAGTAAAACCTCCATATTCAGGTTAAATTGCCGTGTTGGCACTTTGCGATCAATAAGTGGGTCTTGGGTCGCAGTTTGGGCACGCGGTCTCTAAAAAGGTTCGCCATCACTGGACTAGGTGATCTTTGTGTTTGGTGTCCTTTATAAAGTCTGTGTCTCTGCTATGACACACACGGCCCGGCCCGACAAGGTCTCATTTATGTCAGATCCGGCCCTCGTAACAAATGAGTCCGACACCCCTGCCTTAGCTCCACCATTTCCTGACGCCTCTTTGTTTTCCGTGCTGCTTGCTGGGGAGGGACGTGGGAGGGGGGAAGCGGCTGAATCCCAGTGATGTCATTTCTGGCAGGGACCCGTCCATCGATTAGCAAAGTGCCCTAATAACGATGTTGCTGTAAATCACCCGGGAAAGAAACTGCAAGGGATTGCATTTAAATCTTCCTGCCCGGACAACGTTGAGGCTATTTTCCAGCCCATTAAGCTGTGTCCCCTGTTCACCCCCACATCTCGTCTCCAGTCTCTAGGACACCGGCTCCGCTTGGAGACAGAGAGGGAGAAGGAAAGAGGCTTAACCTCCACGAATTTCCAGTCACCGCACACTGCCGATCTCCGTTCCATCTCCAAATACTGTCTGTCTCCATTTCTTACACTCCAACAAGCAGAAGAGATTTACAGGGGGGGATGGGAAGGATGTTTGTCATAGGGAAGCAGTGTACTCTCTCGATGGCATAGCCCAGGCTACCCTGATCTTGTCAGATCTCGGACGCTAAGCAGGGTCAGCCTTGGTGAGTCCTTGGATGGGAGACCTATTGGGATATTTGGTTAATCCCACAGAGTCGGCCCAATCATAGGAGCAGGGGTCATTTCGTGCAGGAGCACACAGGAGCGGCGCTCCGGCAGTAAAGGAGCCCAGGGGGCGGGCACCTGCAACAAGCCCCGCCCCCTGCTCCCAGCAGCCCTCAGTCAGAGCAAGAAGCAGCCAGGTAAGCTGCAAAGCCCCCCCCCGGCCCCGCGGTCCAAAACAGTCCAGTGGCACCTTTAAGACCAAGTTTTATTCAGGTATAAGCTCTCCCTCCTCTGCGAGGACAGATCTGCACGTTTCCCCCCCCCCCCCAATAGCTAGCAGTCCAAAACAGTCCAGTGGAGCCTGAGCGGTGGGTGTTGCCTTCTGACACACGTCTGGTGATGTCAGGGGGTGTGGCATATGCAAATGTGTTATGCTAATGAGTTATGCTAATGAGCTCCTGCACCTCTTTTTCTACGAAATGATCCCTGATCATAGCCCAAGTGTCTGCCTCGGCGATTGTCCTAGGGGCACCCTGCTTTGGAGCAGTTGTCACAAGAACCGCACTTTGGCCCAGGAAGCAGGATATATCCTCTTGAAAGGGAGAGTCCTGTGAACCTGGAGGTCTATGATGTGCGGTGGTCCAGACTCTATTTTGTGGTTCAGAGCTTTCAGACTCTTCTCCGTGTTTTTGGTTGAATTCATGAATAAGTCACGAATAAGGAATGAATAAGGGCCTGGGAATAAGGAACCAGTGTCAGCCTCGTCTCAAATGGCCGGCTCGTCCGGCATCCTCTGTGTGGGAGGATGAGGGCATTGTCACCATGGAAAGGCCATGTGAAGGGTGTGAGAGGACAAAGTGAGACGGAAAGGAGGGGTCAGAGGGCAGCTCCCAGGTTAAAACGAAGAGAGGCTTCCCATTTGAGGCGATAACACCTAGACACGCTTAGAGCGATGTACCACCACCACCCCACGCTGAGGCAGGCAATGGCAAACCCCCTCTAAGTGTCTGTTGCCATGAAAACCCTCCAGGGTCACCATGACTAGACTGCAACTTGATGCCGCCCCCCCCCCACCGGGAGCTTGATTGCTGAAGAGAGAGAAACAGGCACAGTCTGTGCCCCCCCCCAGGTGACCATATCCCTCCATCCTGCAACTGCCCCCATACAGTCAATGGCTCCCACCCTATTATGCAAAGTAGGTGCCGAAGAGCTGGTTCTGATTCCTGGAGCGCCTCAGTGCTGATGGAAGAAGAAGAAGAAGAACAGAAGAGATTGGATTTCTACCCCGCCCTTCACTACCCGAAGGAGTCTCAGAGCGGCTTACAGACTCCTTTCCCTTCCCCTCCCCACAACAGACACCCTGTGAGGTCGGTGGGGCTGAGAGAGCTCTTGACAGAAACTGCTCTTTTTCAAGGACAGCTCTTGTCAGAACTACGGCTTGCCCAAGGTCACCCAGCAACTGCAAGTGGAGGAGTGGGGAATCAAACCTGTTTCTCCCAGATTAGAGTCCGCGCACTTAACAACGACACCAAATTTATTGCCACTTTGGGGTCAGGAAGCCATTTTCCTCCAGGCCAGTTTGGCCGGGGATGCTGGAGGTTTTTTTTGCCATCTTCTCAGCATGGAACAGGGGTCACTGGGTGTGTGTGTGGGGGAGGTATTTGTGAATTTCCTGCCTTGTGCAGGGGGGTTGGACTAGATGTCCCTTCCAACTCTATGATTCTAGGAGGAAGTTCTGTCTGGCCAGGAAAATCCTAGCTGGGGTGCATCTAGGGTTGCCAGCGCCCTGGTCGGGCCTGGAGATCTCCTGGAATTATGACTAGTCTCCATCCTACAGAGATCAGTTCCCTTGGAGAAAAGGGCTGTTTTGGTAGACTCCATGGTATTAAGAAACCTCTGAAGTCCCTCCTCTCCTTAAACCCCAATTTCTTCAGGGTCCTCCCCAAATCTCCTGGAGACCAGGCCCTAGGAGGAAAGGCGGAGGGACTTCTTGGGAATGTTCCGTCTGGAGAAGAGGAGGTTGAGGGGGACACAGGATGGCTCTCTTTAAGTATTTGGTGGTCACTTAGGGTGATTCCACACTAGACCGTCAATCCCGGTTCAGCCCTGTCCCCAAACTTACATTCTACACTACGCTTGGGATCACCCCTGTAATTATCTCGGGGTATTTTTTTGTTTCCACATTACATTGAGGTCACCCCAGTTTCACCCCACACTTGTCCCGGGATAAACGGATGCTGTTATAACCAGGGATAAATGCCAGGTATTGTGTCGCGGGTTGAACTCTGATACAACCGGGGATGATATCCAAGTGCGGAAAGGACCTTAGAGGAGAGCAGGGAGCTTTCGGCCGGAGGGGAGAGGACTCGCAACCGTGGGCTTAAATTAAGGGCGGGAAGGTACCGGCTGGATGTTAGGGAAACTCTTTTTTTGACAGTCAGAGTTGTGCAGCAGTGGAATCAGCTGCCGCTGGTGTCGTGGTGAAGTGCGTGGGCTCTAATCTGGGAGAACCGTGTTTGATTCCCCACTTCTCCACTTGCACCTGCTGGATGACCTTGGGCAAGCCATAGTTCTGACAAGAGCTGTCCTTGAAAAAGAGCAGTTTGTGTCAGAGCTCTCTCAGGCCCACCTACCTCACAGGGCGTCTGTCGTGGGGAGGGGAAGGGAAAGGAGTTTGTAAGCCGCTCTGAGACTCCCTTGGGTAGTGAAGGGCAGGGTATAAATCCAATTTCCTCCTCCTCCTCCTCCTCCTCCTTCTTCTGATGAGCTCCCCCTCCCTGGCAGTCTTCAAGCAGCGGCTGGACAAACACTCGCCCAGGATGCTCTCGGCCAGGGGTGGCCAAACTTGCTTAACGTGAGAGCCGCAGAGAATAAACATCAGATGTTTGAGAGCCGCAAGACATGAACAAATATTACGTGTCTTTATTTGGAAAATGTGCAAACTTGCTTTTTATTAACATTAAGCGAGACTGCCAGAAATAATAACAAGAAGGGGTAAAAGCAGATATTGATAATGATACTTATTTGTCCAGTGATATTTGTTTGCGAAGGATATCTAGCTTTCCTAGCTGCCTTGCCGGGAGCCGCACAATATGTGTGAAAGAGCCGCGTGCGGCTTCCGAGCCACAGTTTGGCCTCCCCTGCTCTCGGCTGATCCTGCACTGAGCAGGGGGTGGGACTAGATGGCCTCTAGGACCCCTTCCAACTCTCTGTGATTCTAGGATTCTATGAATTCCCCAATCCCAGAGATGGCAACCGGTGTTCCCTCTAAACTGAGTTTAGTGTGAGCCAGCTCACAGTTTTTTAGCCTCCGGCTCACACATTTTTGTCTTCGCTCGGGAAGGAGGGCTCCAGAGCAAACTGATTTATGCAGCAGCTAAATCGCTCACTCACAGCTTTAATGCCGGTAGCTCACAAAGTAGAATTTTTGCTCACAAGACTCCACAGCTTAGAGGGAGCATTGCTGGCAACCCCAGGTGCAGCGGCCCACCTTCCAAATCTGACTCCTCGAGACCTACGTACCTCTTTGTTAATCCGCCGGTCTGAATCTGAGCCAAGGTCTTCACTCTGTAATCTCTTTGCAGCGCCTCTGTTCAGGTTTGCCGTGGGGCAAAGAATCAAATCAAATCCGAGAGTCCGCTGAGAATGTGCAGAGTGCGTTTGCATCCGGCCGAGGCCGCTCACCCTCCTCTTTCCTTCCCGCCCACAGAGCCAGCTCTCCCAGGCCCTGAATGGATTGTCGGACAGAGCGAAGGAAGCCAAAGAGTTCCTGGTTCAGCTCCGGAACATGGTGCAGCAAATCCAGGTAGGGCACGGGCTCCGCGCGTGACATCCGCTTTCCTCTCAGCGGTGTCCCCTGAGGCACGGGGGACGGGGTAGTCTTACCTCTCCTGATCAGCAGCCGACCCACAGGGGACTCTGGTAGCTTCGAGAACACAGTTGGCAACCACACCACGGGGGGAGGGGTTTGCTGGGAGGGAGATGGGAGAGGCGGGGGCTTACGGTGGGGGACGACTGGCGCCCCAGCACAATGACGTCACTTCCCTCGAGACTTGGAAGTGACATCATTGCGCCAGGGTGAGGCTATAGTATTCTATCCAGACTCTGTGGTTTGTGTGGTGTAGTGGTTAAGAGCAGTGGACGCTAACCTGGGAGAACCGGGTTTGATTTCCCATTCCTCCTCCACATGCAGCTGCCGGTGCGACCTGGGGTCACTCACAGTTCTCTCAGAGCTGTTCTCTCAAGGGCAGTCCTCGAGAGAGCTCTCTCAGCCCCACCCACCTCCCAGGCAGTGTTCCCTCTAAGCTGAGTTAGTGTGAGCTAGCTCACAGTTTTTTAGCCTCCAGCTCACAGATTTCTGTCTTAGCTCAGGAAGGATGGCTCCAGAGCAAACTAATTTATACAGTAGCTAAAATGCTCGCTCACAACTTTAATGCCAGTAGTTCACAAAGTAGAATTTTTGCTCACAAGACTCCACAACTTAGAGGGAACATTCCTCACAGGTGTCTGTTGTGGGGAGGGGAAGGGGAAGGAGATTGTAAGGCGCTCTGAGACGCCTTCGGGTAATGAAGGGCGGGGTGTAAGTCCAATCTCTTCAGGGGCCTGGAGACCAAGCCCTATGAGGAAAGGCTGAGGGACTTCTTGGGAATGTCCAGTCTGGAGAAGAGGAGGCTGAGGGGGGACAGGATGGCTCTCTGGAAGGATTTGAAGGGGCGTCCCTTAGAGAGGAGGGCAAGCTGTTTCTGTGGGCAGCAGAGGAGAGGACTCCCAAGACTGGGTTGAAATTAAGGGTGGGGGACTGCTGGATCTTAGAGAAAACATTTTGACTGACTTTGTGCCACAGTGGAATCCGCTGCCTTGGGAGGCGGTGAGCTCCCGCTCCCTGACAGTCTCCAAGCAGCGGCCCCTTGAAGCAGTGGCAGTGTTGTACATATTAGATTCCATGTCAAAAATGAAGTCAAATGAGGAGGAAGTTCTTGTATTTTATTGTAATTGTAATGTACTCCGCCATTACCACGTGCGCGACCGTTGGGCCATGCGGTCAAGCAAAGCCCTGAAGCTTCGCTCAAGGAGAACAATAGCCAAGCGGATCCTAGCCCCGCACCTATCAGAGGGCCAGGTCCGCAGCCAAGAGCCTATGGGACTCTCGGCTACTGTAAATAGCCTATAGGAAGTAGAGGGTGTGTTTTGGTGGTGGGTTTTCTGGGCATATATACCGGCCTGCGAGCCGGCAGTTCTTTGTCTTGTTCTATCCGAATAAAAGTACTTTGCTGAAATGACTCAACGTTTCTCAGTACTTTTCAGGACTTGAGGGATTGCCATCAAATATGAGAGAGGGTGGCTTCTAAACTGTCAAGGGTCCATGTTGTTCTGGACGTTATACGTCAAAGTTAGCACTGTGGGTCTTGCGTCTGAAGCAAGTGAACACTAGTACTGACCACTAGGACTCTAATCTGGGAGAACTGGGTTTGATTCCCCACTCCTCCAGCTGCTGGATGACCTTGGGCAAGCCATAGTTCTGACAAGAGCTGTCATTGAAAGGGCAGTTCTTGAAAGAACTCTCTCAGCCCCACCTACCTCACAGGGTGTTTGCTGTGGGGAGGGGAAGGGAAAGGAACTTGTAAGCCGCTCTGAGACTCCGAGTGAAGGGAGGGGTATAAATCCAGTCTCCTCCTCCTCTTCCTTCCAACTTAACTGGCTAGGCTGGAGAAAGGCTTGCAACTTTGCTCAGAGGAGCCGAGGCCACTCCACGTGGCCTCCGCAAGGACTCCCAGCCCCATCCAGGAGCTTCCCCAAGGTCGCTGTGTTAGTCTGTTGCTGCAAAATAGTCCAAGAGTTCAAATAGCACCTTTAAGACTAACAAATAGCACCTTTAAGACTAACCTTTAAGACTAAGACTAACTGAGTGGTGGGTGTGGCCTTATGACACACTTCTGGTGATGTCAGGAGGTGTGGCATATGCTAATGAGTTATGCTAATGAGTTCCCCTAGCTCTTTTTTTACGAAACAACCCCTGCAAAAGACAGTGGTAATTTGAGTAATAATCCTCTGATTGGCCAGATATAAAGAAACATATATCTACGTCAAACTAAGTGTTTACTTAACCTAACCTAAATGATAATGGGCAAGGAATCTTCATATCAGACTAAAATCTTATCTGACCCAGGCATTGAAAGGTTTGCCCTAAGAACTACAGAATCATGAACTTTGTACCTATTATGATGTCTGTTAACCTACAAGAGGAAAGCCTCCTATAGAACAGACCTTTCTAACATCCTAATAAAATATTACTTAAAGAACAAATCTATAAAAACCAGAGAAATAGGAATATGAACAATCAAGAAGAAAAAAACCTATATATGAAAATCTTTCTATTCCCATTCATACTACAGCAGTCTTCAGGCAGTCTCGGCTACTCCTGCATCGAGCAGGGGGCTGGACTAGATTGCCTCTATGGCCCCTTCCAACTCTGTGTGATTCTATGATTCTCCTCCTCCTCCTGCCCCCCCCAGAAATATATTCAAAAGACAGGTGGGTTAAGTCCTCCCTCTCTGCTCTTCTCAAGTCATTCCAAGTGGCTGTGCTGTGGAGGCTGAAGTCAGCCAAAAGCTCTTACGCGGGCCTTTGGGGACTGAACTGGATTTGTTTAAGAGGCACCGTGACCGCCTCGAGGCTGGGGTTCCAGACTGGGGAGACTGGGGTCAGGTTCCTGCATTGACTGAGTGGTCTTGAGCCACGCATCTATCCCTCAGGCTCACTGGCCAGTTTCGCAGTGTTTCCCCCCCCCCCCCTAAAACGACGGACTGTCAAATCCATACAATAGGGCCAGTCACGGCTACCACGCAGGGGTTCTTGTAACTGTGGGGTAACCCGAAGGGGTCATTCCATAGAAAAAGAAGTGCAGGAGCTATTTAGCGTAACGCATTAGCGTAACTTATTTGCATATGCCACGCACCCTGGCATCGCCGGAAGTGTGTCAGAAGGCAACACCCACCGCTCAGGCCTCACTGGACTGTTTTGGATTTCTAGCTATTGGGTGTGTGTGAAAGTGCAGATCTGGGGAAACGGGAGCATGAAGTGGAGGTGGGGATGGGCGAGATCAGTGCTCTGTGGCTCATCTTCCCACCTGAGACGGTGGGACAGGAGGTGATTTAGGCCTCCCCGTCGCGGTGACTGACGGGAATGTTTTTGCCCTCCAGGAGAACAGTGTGGAGTTCGAAGCCTGTCTGGTGGCCCAGTGCGATGCCCTGATCGACGCCCTCAACCGGAGGAAAGCCCAGCTGCTCTCGCGGGTCAACAAGGAACACGAGCACAAGCTGAAGGTGAGTCCGAGACGGCTTCCGCTGGGGAAATGGAGGGAGCGGAAGGGACGGATGGACGTGGCTGGGAGGGGGCTCCTCGGGAAAGAGGGCGCAACTTCTCCGGTTATGTTTGTGCGAGGCACTGGGGGGGGGGACGGGAGTCTCCAGCCAGGGACGCTGCTAGAAAGACCCCAGCGGTGCCTCACGTTTCACGCGGCTAGTGGCAGGATTTGGCAGGCAGTTTGGTGTAGTGGTTGGGAATGCGGACTCTAATCTGGAAGAACTGGGCTCAGTTCCCCACTCCTTCACATGCAGCCAGCTGGGTGACCTTGGGTCAGTCACAAGTTCTCTCAGAGCTGTTCTCTCAAGGCCAGTTCTCGATTGAGCTCTCTCAGCCTCACTGACGTTTCTGTTGTGGGGAGGGGAAGGGAAAGGAGATTGTAAACCGCTCTGAGACTCCTTCAGGGAGTGGAGGGCAGAATATAAATCCAATCTCCTCCTCTTCCTCCTCTGCTTCTTCTTCTGCTTTTGCTGCTTCTGTTACTGCTGCGTTGCAGCGCCATCCTTGCAAGTGGTCAGTGGTGGTATTGCGTCTACCACCACTGCAAGGATCAAGGAGCCCCGGGAGCCAATGAAGTAACAGACTCCAGCTTGCCTCCCTATTACTAGAATTGTCAGCTCTGGCCTTGGAAATGCCTAGAGATTTTATTTTATTGACGTTATTCTGTTATTTTGGGGGTAGAGCCTGGGGAGGCTGGGAATGGGGGAGGGAAGGGGTTTTAGCAGGGTACAAGCCACGGAGTCCACCCTTGAAAGCAGCCATTTTCCCCAGGGGGAACTGATTTCTGTTGTCTGAAGATTTCTGTTGTCTGAAGATCAGTTGTAATAGCAGGAGAGGAACCAGTGCTTGGCCTTTTCTTCTATGCCCAGGGTAATGCCAATTGCCACTTTGGGGTCAGGAAGGGATTTTCCTCCATGCTAGATTGAACCAGGGATCCTGGAAGATGTTTTGGTTTTTTTGCCTTCCTCTGGGCATAGAGTTGTGGGCAGGGGAGGTAACTGTGAATTTCCTGCATTGTGCAAGGGGGTTAGACTAGATGACCCTTGGGGGTACCTTCCAGCTCGATGTTTCTACGTTTCATTACCAGGGGTCGACTGACCAACTTGTCCATCTGCCAACCCAGCCTCCTGGCTCCAGTTAGGAGCGCGGACTCCAGTTTGGTGTACTGGTTAGGAGCGCGGACTCTAATATCTGGGAGAACCGGGTTTGATTCCCCACTCCTTCACATGCAGCTGGCTGGTGTGACCTTGGGTCAGTCACAAGTTTTCTCAGAGCTGTTCTCTCAAGGGCAGTCCTCAGAAGAGCTCTCTCAGCCCCACCTGCCTCACAGGGTCTCTGTTGTGGGGAGGGGAAGGAGATTAAAAGCTACTCTGAAACTCCGAGTAAAGGGCGGGGGATAAATCCATTCTCCTCTTCTTCTTCAGTTGCCACCAGCCAGTCTTCACACGCTTGGGCAGCGCCTGCCCGACACCACATCCCCCTCAAAGGTGGCCCCCGACATGCATCCTGTTTAAAAATGTGCTGAAGAAGTGAACTGCGGCCAATGCTCCCCCTAAGCTGTGGAGACCTGTGAGCAAAAATTCTCCTTTGTGAGCTACGGGCATTAAAGTTGTGAGCAAGCGATTTAGCTCTTGCATAAATCAGTTTGCTCTGGAGCCACCCATCCTGAGCTGAGACAAAAATGTGTGTTGTTGTTCAGTTGCACAGTCGAGTCCGACTCTTCGCGACCCCATGGACAAGATCTTGCCAGGCCCTCCTGTCTTCCGCCGTCCTCTGAAGTTTGCTCAACTTCATGTTCATTGCATCGATGACACTGTCTAACCATCTCATCCTTTGCCGTCCCCGTCTTCTTTGACCTTCAATCTTTCCCAGCATCAGGGTCTTCTCCAGTGAGTGCTCCCTTCTCATTGGGTGGCCAAAGTATTTGAGCTTCAGTTTCATTATCTGGCCTTCCAGGGAACAGTCCGGGTTGATTTCTTTAAGGATTGACTGATTTGATCTTCTTGCAGTCCAAGGGACTCTCAGTGTGTGAGCCGGAGGCTAAAAACCTGTGAGCTGGCTCACACTCACTCAGCTTAGGGGGGACACTGGGCCGCAACTCGGGGAAAGCTCCTCCCCTGCGACCAATTTGGTCCGCCTTTCAGGTGCTGCGGGACCCTTGCTCTTTCCTCCTGCTGCAGAGAGACAAACCCGGCCACCCATCTTGTTTCAAAATGGACACTGGTCCCTCCTCTTGGAAAGGCGACATCCAGCTTTCTGTTGTCCAGGCTGCAGCCGGTTTGCTTCAGTCGTGGAGTCTCCGTTCTCAAAACGGGTGCTCTCCAGTGTTCCCGCTAAGCTGAGTTAGCGTGAGCTAGCTCATAATTTGTTAGCCTCCGGCTCACACTTTTTTGTCTTAGCTCAGGAAGGACGTGTCTCCAGAGCAAACTAATTTATGGAGTAGCCAAATGGCTCGCTCACAACTTTAATGCCAGTAGGTCACAGAGTAGAGTTTTTGCTCACCAGACTCCACAACTTAGAGGGAACAATGGTGCCCTCTTTGCTCCTCACCCCTCGCACGGCAGGGTCTCTCTTGCGGGGGAAATCGATTCCTCCTCCCGCCTGCGGCAAAAAGTCTTCAGCAATATTGGCGGAGGGTGGGGTTGAGGTTCTGCTAGCAGTGGAGCAGCTGCCCCCCCCCCCCGTGCCAGAGGAAATCCCCGGCTTGCCCGCGCTGCCTCTCTGGAACGGAAACACCCCCCCCAGCGTCCCCCCTCTGATTTGGACTTGGCCGGGACCTTGGTCCAGGGAGGACCTTGCTGGGAGGCCCAACTCCCTCCGAAAGGCTCCCGACTCCACTGGTGGGGGGGGGGGAGGGAGCACGAGAACCATTCCCCAGCTCCGATTCATCAGAAGAGGCCACAACAGGCCCCGTGAAGGGGAGGGGGGGGGCCTGACGATTGCCATGGCGACCATTGCCGTAGCAACAGCCGAGGATGGATGGCGGAATGGCAGTTTTCTTTTCGCAGGGGACCAGTAACCAATCGGCCGAGAGGAGAGGCCTTGATGGGGGGAGGGGCTGCCAGGAGACTCGCCAACCTCCAGGTTTGGCCTGGAGTTCTCTCGGATTTACACCCGGGGACAGAGGTCAGTTCTCCGGAAGGGGGAGATAGCTGCTGGGTGGTGGTGGTGGGGATGGAGGAGGAGGAGGAGGAGATTGGATTTATACCCCGCCCTTCACTACCCAAAGATGTCTCAGAGGGGCTTACAAACTCCTTTCCCTTCCCCTCCCCACAACAGACACCCTGTGAGCAATGTTCCCTCTAAGCTATGGAGTCTTGTGAGCAAAAATCCTACTTTGTGAGCTATGGGCATTAATGTTTTGAGCGAGCCATTAGGTTGCTGCAGAAATTAGTTTGCTTTGAGGCCATCCTTCCTGAGCTGGCAAAAATCTGTGAGCTGGAGGCTAAAGAACTGTGAGCTAGCTCACACCAACTCAGCTTAGAGGGAACACTGCCTGTGAGGCAGGTGGGGCTGAGAGAGCTCTGACACAAACTGCTCTTTTTCAAGGACAGCTGTGCCAGAGCTTGTGACTGACCCAAAGTCACACCAGCAGCTGCAAGAGGAGGAGTGGGGAATCGAACCCGGTTCTCCCAGATTAGAGTCCGCGCACTTAACCACTACACCAAACTGGCTCTCTTTTGCATTATACCCTGCTGAGGTCCCCCCCCCCCCGCACCCTGCCTTCCTCAGGCTCCACCTATCCCCCAAACCTCCAGGAATTTCCCAATCCCGGGACAGGCCGGACCCCAACAGACAGTTCCGAGGGCCGGCCTTTTCGAGGGGGGGGGGGTTGTGACCAAGGCTCCCCCTAAGCTGCGGAGTCTTGTGTGAGCAAGAATTCTACTTTGTGAGCTCCTGGCATTCAAGTTGCAAGCGAGCGATGGGGCCGCTGCATCAATTAGTTTACTCTGGAGCCACATCCCTTCCTGAGCTGAGACAAAAATGGGTGAGCCGGAGGGTAAAAAACGGTGAGCTGGCTCACACTCACTCAGCTTAGAGGGAACACTGGCACAGTGGCTAATCAAGTTCCTCTGGAGTTCAAACAACAGGGCATTGAGGCTGAGGCCTTCCCCTGGTAAGAACAGAAGGAGAGTCTGGCTGGATCAGAGCAGTGGTCCATCTAGTCCAGCATCTTGTCTTGCACAGCAGCCAACCAGTTCCTCTGAAGGGCCAACCACAGGGCATAGAGGCCGAGGCCTTCATAAGAACATCAGATGAGCCCTGCTGGATCAGACCAGTGGTCCCTCTAGTCCAGCATCCTGTCTCACACAGTGGCCAACCAGTTCCTCTGGAGGGCCAACAGCAGGGCAGAGAGGCCGAGGCCTTCATAAGAACATCAGAAGAGCCCTGCTGGATCAGACCAGTGAGGGTCCATCTAGTCCAGCATCCTGTCTCATACAGGGGCCAGCCAGTTCATCTGGAGGGCCAACAACAGGGCAGAGAGGCCGAGGCCTTCATTAGAACATCAGAAGAGCCATGCTGGATCAGACCACTTCCATCTGGTCCAGCATCCTGTCCAGTTCCTCTGGAGGGCCAACTACAGGGCAGAGAGGCTGAAGCCTTCATTAGAACATCAGAAGAGCCCTGCTGGGCCAGTCCAGTGATCCATACTTGGAGATTGGGTGTGTGTGGAGTCTGAGGAGGGTGGGGTTTGGAGAGGGCAGGGACATTAATAGGGTCTAATTGAATAGAGCCCGCCTTCCAAAGCGGCCATTTTCTCCAGGGGAAACTCTGTCGCCTGGAGATCAGGTGTAATTCCAGGAGACCTCCAGCGACCGCCTGGAAGTTGGCCACCCTGGAATTCACCAAAGGGACTCTGGGTCACAGTGTGTATGTGTGTTTTAGCTGCAGCCCTGCAAGCCAGGCTGGGGAGTAGGGTTGCCAGGTCTGGTTGGAAAATACCTGGAGACTTTGGGGG